TGCCAGGAACAGAAAAACTGGGAGAATGGGGCCCACACTGGCTGGGCATCTTGGGCCGGAGGGACTGGAATCAGGCCTGAGAGAGAGGACAGAGTGGGCTCCTGCTGGCTGAGTCCCACCCCTGGTGCAGCCCCGATACTCACATTGTGGGTGGAAGCAGAGCAGCAGGGCAAAGGAACATGCGGGTGGCTGGGCCCCAGTGTAGTGTGAAGCTAGGGCCCGTCCCGGGAGCCTGGGGGATCCAGGGGTGGGGGTGGGGGTGGGGGTGGGGATAGAGTAGGCATCAAATGCAGAAGGAAAAGGGAGGGGACCAAAATAGCACAAGGAGCCCCTCCACAAGTCTGCTATCCAAGGCCGCTGGAGCTAATGGGGCCCAGGTTCAAGTGAACCCCACAGGCAGAAGGGACGCTATTCTCATTCAAATGATGTTCTCACCCAACCCTGAAAGGCTTGTCTCCAATCGCCTCTGGGGAACATCCCCCTCCTCCCCCAGCCCAGCCACCACCATTCAGCCTGGGAAGGACTGGCAGATGGGTGGGGCGAGTTATTCCATTCAGGGCCCAAAGCCCTGGGCCCTCCACAAAGCAGGAAGTGTCACCCTCTGCAGATCTGTCTGAGGGGCCTGCTGAGGCTGGGTGGCAGCGTCTGGTAGCAAAACAAAGCATGTGGCGCACAGGCAGGGAGAGGGCACTGCTGATGGAAGGAGGCAGACGCTAGCCAAGTTCCTGGCTAATCTAGGAAGGGGATGGAGGGAGGCTGGTCCCTCTCCTGTGAGGCCCAGAGGAAGAGGCAGAGGCATCTCAGCCTGTTCCCAAGCCCCAGATGAGCCTGGGCAGCGCCTGGAGATTGCAGTCAGAGGTGGCTGGAGGACAAGGGCAGGCTGTCTGCTGGACCCTGGGGAACAGTGCCACGAAGTCCCCTGCTCCTGGCCTGGAAGCCTGCAGGCCGAATGTCTCTCTACGCTCTCTATTGGGCTGTTTGCAGGCACCCAGAGCCTATCTTGGAATCCAATCTAGGGGAGTGAGGGGCTCTGCCCTTGCTTTTAATGGCTGCCCCTAGCCCCCAAGAGGCCAGGGTGGTGCGTGCATCCAAGTTGTCCTCCACCTTTCCAGAGGGGCTTGGGGGCTGCCTCTCCTACATGATCCCGTCACGCACATCGTGGACCAGGCTAGGAGGCACAGGCTACTGGAGCCCCTTTTCTCACTCTGCTCAAGCTGACCTGCCTGTAGCCATGTGCACACCTGTACGTATACACGCAACACACGCACACACACGTGGGTGCATGAGAAGGGCAGGTAGGGAGACCAAGCAGTGGAAAGGTATAAAAACGTGATCGATGGAACAGTAGACATACAACTTGAAGAGGAACAAGTCACAGTGCATCGCGCCATGAGACTACCCTTCCCACCCGCCCCACCCATAGCCACCAGTCTCTGCACGGACACCACTGGCCGCCAGGGCCCTGACGAGGTACCCGGGAGTCCTCAGGGTTGTGGAGTCCTTGGCGGCAGAACTCAAGTCTCCCCAAACATTGCTGGGTGAGGGACTCAGGGTGCCGAAGGCAGCAGCAGGGGCTGGAGCTGTATCACTGGAGACAGATTCACACGGAGGATACGCTGAGCCTGCTGTCGCACCTCATCATCCGAGGACCACCGGTCAACCTTGATGGCCCGGAATTTCAGCGGCTTTGCTATGCGAGGACCAAGTCGTGCCTTAGGGGAGCGGGGCCCAAGCTGTGTTCTCTTACAGGGAAGCAGCTCCTTTGCCTCCTGGGACCTTTTCCTCTTCTGTCCCACAGCCTCAGGGGGGCTTCTCTGACACCTTTCCACAGTCTGGGCCTGAACAGACCCCTTGGGCTTGCCTCTGCTCTCAAGCTGAGTCTGGATCACCCTGGCCTTGGCTTTGATCTTCACCGCCTTGGCCTTGACCTGTGCCACCTTGGCCTTGGCCCTGGCCCTGGCCCGTGCTGCCTTGGCCTTGATTTGTGCCGCCTTGGCTTTGGCCCGTGCCGCCTTGGCCTTGGCCTTAGCTCTGGCCTGAGCGGCCCTGGCTTTGGCCCGGGCCTTAGTCACCTTAGCCTGGGGTGCCTTGGCCTGTTTCTGAGCCACCTTGGCTGAGGGAGTCTTAGGCTGTGGCCGGGGCACCTTGGCCTGGGCACAAACAACTTTGGCCAGTGCTTGAGCGGCTTTGGCCTGGGCTGTCTTGGTGCCCAGGGCAGATCCCCCTTTCATTCGTAGCCCACTGAGGGATTCAGTGACTTTGCAGGTCTTACTCTGGGGACCAGTGCCACGTCGGGGACCTGCCTTCGGGTGTTTGAAAGTCTGACATTTGGGGCCCTTGCTTATCTTTCTGGGGGCCTTAAGCAGGGAGTTCCCCGAGCCCTTTCCTGGACCCTTCCGCGGCTTCAAGGGAGAATCTGCAAGTGAGAACTGTAATGACTGAGCCTTGTGCTTAGCACCCAAGCAGGGCATGGGAGTCTTGAGCGGAACCAGGGCCTCAAGGACAACAGAGAGCCGCATGGCAGGGTAGACACCGGGATAGAGGTGAGCAGGGAAGCCCATGGCTGCGCCCCGGGCCCGGCTAGCATTGGACTGTTTCAGGGAACTCAGCAGTAGGTTAGTAGGAGCATGCTTGGCAAGGTTTGGTGTGGCTGTTTTGGCCAGCCTGCCAGAAAGCGGCATGGGGAGTAGTGTGGCCCGGCCTGCGGGCAGTCGCATGGTAGTTCGAGGAGCACTTGCTGGAGGTGACGTTGTGGCTGACGTTGGGGCACGGGCTTGCAGCTTCGTCTGGCTTGGGGGGCTGGCTGTGCACGAGCTGTAGCCATAGACATCGCCACTACGCAGGATGGTGGGTTGGAAGCCATCATCCCGCAAGCCCTGGAGGAAGGCCACGAGCTGGGCCTCCGTGGCACTGAGGTCCTGGCTCATGGGGTTAAAGACAAGCAGTGCCTCCTCCAGGGCCTTCTTCCCTGCCGTGGAGATGCGGGACCAAGAGTGCACAGCTTTCTCCTCCACATGCTGCACCACCACGCTCATGGCATTAGGCACTGCAGATCTGCCCGGGCGTCCGCAAACCAGCGCTCCGCACCTCCAAGGCAAGAGGAAAAGTCAATGAGATTGGCATTTACATAGGGAGCCAGGGCAGGTAGACGGGTCAAGCAGGGCCCACTCTCTATGGCATATCACTTATTAGCACTGCAGGGACCAGCCAGTTGAAGACCCTTTGGGTCATGGGCAGCCCCTTCAGGACACAGACCTATGACTTCCTTTGAGTTATCCAACATGTCTGGACTTCTGGAAAGATGTGAGCTTGTCCCACTTGAACTCAATTCTGTATTTCCTGAGGTCAGAAAGCTAGTCCCACACTGAGCCCTGCCAACACAGTGACTATCCCGGGCTTTAAGAAGCCCAGTCTAGAAGGCAGGGGAGAACCATCATGACAGGCTCTTGGGAATAAACCGTGGCACAAAGCATAGCTTGCAACAGCCACTACAGAAGAGAACAGTTAGCTGTTCATGAGTGAGGAGTGGGAGAGGGCTGAGGGGAAATGGGACGAAAGTTCCCATGTGAGAGTAAAGCCCTCTGCTATGGCTGGAGGCTGGAATCCAGGCTGGGGATCTAGCTAGAAAAATCAAGTGTCAGTATGGCAGGCAAGAACCTCCAATGCTGGTCAACCCTGACTAATGCTGCTCCTCTAACTGCTGATGTTGTTTCCCGTGAGGGAAATCTTGCTCGCCAAAGGTGCTACCTTCAAAGTCCACAGATGGGCCGCTCAGAGCCGGCTTCCCAGTCACAGAGACCAAGCCCAGGGAAAGGGCCAGACCCTCCAACAGATATCAGAATACCAAGGAGCAGCTGCCACTGACGATAGATGGCCGGGGTGGCCTGGAGGGGCAGGCCAAGGGTGTACGGCTGGGGATCATGGGAAGCAAAAGGCTCCGAGTAGAATGTGCGCCCAGCGGATAGCAGAGGTCTGAGCTGTTGTAACTATGGAGAGAGGGGGTACAGACCTTAGTACAACAGGAGCCCTGGTGGCGCTGTGGGCTAGGTGTCAAGCTGCGCACATCAAGGGTGGTGGTTCAAACCCACCAGCCACTCAGCGGGAGACAGATGAGGCTGCCTGCTCCCATAAAGATTTCAAACTTCAAAAAAACCTGAAACTCACAGACCTTAGTACAGGGGTCCCACCCCTCTCTTAATCAGTCCTGACTAAGAGTAAAGCTTGACCCTGAACTTGGGAATTCCCAGAGGCCAGGGGCAGCTCCCCAAATGCATCAAGTGCATTAAATGATCCGCTGGGACCCGGCAAGTCCCTGAGGCTAGGAGGTGCTTACACACAGCATCTTCCCACAGCTCTAATGGGGCCCAGAAAATCTTCAGAATCCCCAGGAGGCAGTGCCCTGGGGTTCTTTGTTTGGAAACATTCTTGGATCCTCAGGTGTCCAGAGCACTTCCCTTCTCCAGAGGCCGATTTCCAAGCACAATCTTACACGTGATTTTAGTTTCTTTATTTGGTTTGGGGTGGGTGGGTGTAGTACCCAGGGTAGTGAATTGTAGAGAGGCCAGCTCTCCAACCCCCTTCCCTCTACTCCGTACAAACACCAGGGGTGGGCCGGGGCTCTTCCGCCCAGGTTGGTCTGGGCCCTCCGGAGGGGGGTCTTCTGGGCCTTCAAAGGGGCCCTGGGCATACAGGCTGCAACTGGGTCCCCGACTTCCCTTTACACCTGCCCCAAGGGCTGGCAGGGGAAGTTAACAGAAGATGGGGGGCGGGAGATGCCCCATTCAAGCGGGGCCCTCGGGGTGGGGAGGGGCCTCCGTCCCTGAGGCCGGAGCCGCGGCAGGTGGCAGGGGTCCCAGCGGCTGCGGGATGCACAGGGCAGGCGGTGCCAGCCCAGCGGGGGCCGCGCGGCGCCAAGGTGGGGCCGCGGGGCACGGGGTGGGGGTGGGGTGGCTCGGCCGGACCAGCCAATGCTGGGGTCCGGGAAGTCTCGCCGGCCCATCCGCCCTGCCGACCCGCCGACTGCCACTCCGCGGCACGGCTAGGCCCGCGGCCCCAACCTACCGGCGCCGCCGCGGGGACCCAAGACGCGCCTCTGCGCCGCCTACGCCGCTCCAACATGGCCGCCCGCTGCGCGCCGGAAGCGCACCACGTTTCCGCTTCCGGAACCCGGCCCACTCTGGCGACCTTTGACCCTCGAGAGCCCCCACCCCCCACCCCATTCTCTGCCCCCACCCTCCAATTTTGCAAAGTCTGGGAGTGGGGTAGGCTAAGGCCCTGGGAGGCCTGTCTGGAGGCGGGTGGTCACTGAGGCCATTCCAAACCCACTGGCTTCTAGGGAGCAGAGGAGCCCCCCATCAGGACCTCACAGCAGCCAGGCCTGGACTGGATTGGGGGCCCAGACGGGAGTTGGTGCTGCACCTCTTCTGGGTGGGCTGCTGTGCAAGGCTTGACCTACCCTCTACCTTCTTTCTGGCCCTCTCCCAGCCGCTGCCAAGGTCCACCTTATTCCCAGCCACTTGCCAGAAGGCTGAAGAACAGACTCTCCAGGCAGGCGGTGACAGCAGGGGAGCCCCTTTGCTGTAGAGCACAAGTACCTCCTCTGGGGACGGGAGGCCATCTTTGTTTCCGAAGAATGGTGTCCACTGCGCGTGGCATGACAGGCTGGTGTGCACATGTGTGCATATAGGCCCGTGGCTTATGTTAGGTTTCTGGGGTGGTTTACCTGGGTTCTTGCTTCTCAACACTGAAAGAATTCACTCGGCAGAATCACTTTTGTAAGTCCAAGTAATTTTTATGAAGGAAAGGGAGGTTTCAAGTATCACAGTTTCAAAAAGTATACGCTATCTCTGGAAAGCATTCAAGGTAGACGGAGCCAAGAGTTCGAGTCAGAAGCTGGCCACCTAAAAGGAGCTTGGAAAAAACACATGGAAGGAATTCCGGAACAGGAGCCTAGGGCAGGATATCCCCTGGGGGCAGAAACCCCAAGGAGGGACTGTCTCTAGGACTGTCTCTGGGGGCCCTGACTTTATCCCACTCTTAAACTACTTGAGGGGGTGTGGTTGGTGGTACTAGTCGATCTTTAATGGCTGAGTTCAGGTATACCTGTGAAAGTTGATCTTCTGAAAGCTGATCTTCATGGGGTGCCTAAGTGGCCGTAGCCTGCACATGCTCATTTTTAGTGGTTAAATTCGGGCATACCTGTGGACGTCACGTCGCTGGTGCCCAGTATTGTGTGGGGCCCAGGTTTGGATTTCCCCATAGGTGTCCCCGCAGCCCCTTTATGTGGCCTGGCCAGTCGCTTTTCGCTGGCAGGCATTTGGGGAAGACAACCCCCTTTATCCCTAATTGATCTACCTATCACTCTATGTGGGGAGGTCTGGTCATTGAGTTCTGTCACACAGAGTGCTTGCTCATGCATGTCCACATGGTGTGATCGGAACTCCTGTTCTGCCCAGAGTCCCTGACTGTTACCTACAAGGCTAGCACCTCAGTCTTCCTACTTGGGCCACAAAGCCAGCACTAAAGGGTGAGGGCTCCAGAGGCCACAGCACCAGATGAGAAAGCACAGGACAAAACTAGAGTCATGATAGGCTGTGACTTCAGGTGAGGAGTCAGCATCATCTCCAGAACAATGGCCAAAGATCCTTCTAGGTCTACTAGTAAACGAATGGTCCTTATGTTAGTTGATGCTACCTCCTGGCAACTTAATGCATCAGGGCTCCCCCAATCCTGTTTGAGAGGCAGTGTGGGAGCTCCCATTTCATGGATGAAATGGTGGGGGCATTTGCGCTTGGGTCAGGGCTTGAGCCAAGTGATGGAATCCTGCTGCAGCTCTTAGTTACTAATATGTGTAATAACGCCAAATTTACCAGCTGGGAGGTGTGTGAGCAGAGGATGGCTGGATGCTTTAATGGCTACTCTGTTTTTCTGCCCATAGAGATGGGTTGAAGAACCCCTAGAGGCCAAAGCCCACCTTACCCAGGTGTCTCCCAGTTTCCCTGAGTTTCCCAGGGCCTCAGTGCAAATGGCAGATGGCAGGGTCCTCAGTGTCTTTAGACATAGGCAAGGTATTCAGTAGGAACTTCAAATGCTCTTGGTTTTCTGAGATCAGTCCCTAGAGTGAGCTCTCAAGGGCCAGGGCTCAGTGAGTAGAAACAGGACGACCCTTATTGGCACTCCTAGTCCTCCCCTGTTGCTACCCACTCCCTCTGGCTGAACCCTCTGAACCATAGTTGAGTGTCAGCTGTGCACTTTCCCAACCAGACCAGCCTTCCTCAACTGTCATCCCCAGTTTCTCCAAAGCCAGTAGTGTTGGACCATTTGAAGAACAGACCCTGCCTCTTCACAGAAATCATTTCTGTTTTCATATCCCTGGATGCCCCCTGTACAGAGATGGCATCAGCCCAGGGGTGTCCTGGTGAGGGACTCCCTTTAGTGATACCCATGTTCAGAGATTAGAAGGGCAGGAAGGATAGGCTCTTCTCCTGGGCAGGGCCACTTCCAGAATTTAAGGGGAGGAAAAAGTTAAGGATAAGGGGTCACAGGTGGTCAACTTCCTGCAGAGCACCCTGACTTCTCCACTTCCTAGTTTCTAGTACTGCAAAGATGGGGCTCTCCAGACACACACACACACACACATCAGGGCAAAGTCTGATTTGACCTGCAGTTCAGGTGAGGAGTCATGCTAACCTTACAGGCATACATAGGATCAGATGGGCCTGGTAGGGAAGGGCATGGGACCATACCAGACCCTAGTTCTTGTTCCTCATTTAGCATCTGAGAGTCTCTGTGGGGCACTTGCCCCCTCCTCCCAACCCCACCCTTCCTAGTTATTAGCACCTACCCTGCTGTGGGAGAGGTCTGTTGGGGATGCACTGGCCAACTGGCCAGAGTCCAGAGACCAGTTTCTGAGTTCACAGCCCTGTCCCTGGACTGGGAAAGAATGGCTTCCCCCAAAGCATTTTTAGCTCCAACCTAAAACCTTATTACAGCTCTCTTGATCCTGAGGCTAACACCACCTGGGAGACTGTGTACAATCCTGTAGGAAAGGGGGCTCATTAGACCCACACAGTTAAAGTACTCCTTGATATCCAAATGTAAAAGAATTAGGTTGGACCCCCTGCTTCTCACTACAAATCATAACTCAAAAATGCTCATTGACAAGGAAGGAGAAAGCAGATGGCAGAGGGGACTTGATACAAATTTAGAGTAATAGTAGCACCTAAAAGAATAAAACACATAGGAGTAAATTTAGTCAGGGAGATGAGAGACTTGTACACTGAAAACTATGAAACATTGCCTTAAAGAGATGAAAGAAAACCTAAATAAATAGAAAGGCTCATGAATGGAAAGTCTTACTATTGTTAAGATGTCATCATGATCCAATGTGATAAACACATTCCTCTATCAACATTCCAATGACATTCTTTGCAGTAATGGAAAACGATAAACTTATCTCCTGGCCAGTAACCAACTCCAGAATTTAAGGGGGAGGGGAGTTATGGATAAGGGGCAATGGGTGGTAAACTTCCTGAAGAGGTGGTCAAATCCCCAAGGGTCTCAAATAGCCAAAGCAATCTCGAAAAAGAATAAAAAAGTAGAACACACTTTCATACTTCAAAATGTACTATAAAGGTACAGTAATTAAAACAGCTTGGTATTGTCATATATAATGGTCAAGATTATATGTCAACTTGGCTATGCCATCATTATCCTCAGTGATTGGGCAGTAATGTAATGATGCAATCATCCTCCATTTTATGACCTGCAAAAGCCATTTCTTTGAGGCCTGTATTCAATGTATATCAATATTCCAACAGAATTTGCCCTGAAACTCCATTTTGCTCATCATCCTCTTACCTCTGATTCTTTTATTTATTACATTTTTTATTGGCACCTAATCCACATATCATACAATTGAACTCTGATTCAGAGCTGCCCTCTGACCTGCCAATATTGGACACATCAGCCCCTGCAACTATGTGAATCAGGAGAAACCTCCAGCCAGATGCTGATCCACAGAGCTGGGATTTGCCAGCTTCCACACTGTGAGCCATTACACAGAGAATTAAATTTCATTCATGGAGCCCTTGTGGCACAATGGTTAAAGCACTTGGCTGCTACCCTGTTTCCCCGAAACTAAGACATCCCCCGAAAATAAGACCTACTTACAGTTTTGCCTCTCACTGAAATATAAGGCATCCCCCCGAAAATAAGACCTCCCTGAAAATAAGCCCCCCTGAAGCTACCGTAACTCTGGACTCTGGACCGTAGCGGCTGGCACCGCCATGCAGCTCACTGTTGGCCACAGTGCAGTGGAGCAGACAGGAAGTGTGAGGTCTCTTTTAATAAAACAATAAAGAATAAATGTATACCGTATTCTTCTTCATGGAAATATAAGACATCCCCTAAAAATAAGACCTAGCGCATCTTTGGGAGCAAAAATTAATATAAGGCACTGTCTTATTTTTGGGGAAACAGGGTACCTGAAAGGTCATCAGTTCAAGTCTACTATCCACTCCACAGGAGGAAGATGTGGTGATAATGAGTTTACAGCCTTGGAAACCCTATGAGGTGGCTCTGCTCTGTCCTATAGGGTCACTAAAAGTAGAATTTGACTCAATGGCAGCGATTCAACTGTCATTATGTTAATTTAAACTCATATCAGACCTATAGGACAGAATAGAATTGCTCCCGTGGGTTTTTGAAGCTATAAATTTTTATGGGAGCAGAAAACCACATCTTTCTTCCATGGAGCAGCTTAGTGGGTTCAAACTGCTGACCTTGCAGTCCAAAGTGTAACCCACTACACCTACAGGGCTCCTTGGTGTGTGTGTGTGTGTGTGTGTAATTAGTTTTGCAACCTAAGACATAGTATAAGGATAGAAATCAATGGAATGGAATTGAGAGTCCATCAATAAGCGTACATCTATTCAAAAAACAAACTGCCATTGAGTCGATGGATGCCAACTCATAGTGACCCTGTAGAACAGGGTAGAACTGCCCCTCTGAGTTTCTGAGACTGTAACTGTTTAAAGGAGTAGAAAACTTGGTCTTTCTCTCATGGAGCAGCTGGTAATTTCAAACTTAGG